TGTCTCTGTTGCTTGCTATAAAACCCTCCTCACATACTCTAACAGGCTTCCTCCCACCTCCTCTGCACCCCTCTACTCAAAGAAATACTCGTATCTTTTTTCCATTACTACCTTCATCAGTGCAACATCAGGCCATTTCTTACTGCTACAGCAGCTTTTAGATCCGTTGCTGAAGAAACTGAGGCCACTCGGAGAGGTGAAGCAGAGTTTCAGATTTTATTAAGCCGTCTGACTCAGAGGAGCTAACTTCTCCAGATTCTGAGTGCAGGTCTGTACAGGGTTTATATGGAGATAGAATTGGGGAGGGGCTAGGTTACAGACCTGTTTGAAGACAGGAGGGAAACCAGAAGATTGGTCCCCCTCAGTAACCTGATTAACATTCCAGCTTGTCTCCCAGGAGGAGAAGGCAGTGAATATTTTTACATTTTCCTGTTCACTACCATTACTGCTATGGGTCGGACCCGACTCGATGGCATTTAACAACAACAACAACAACAAACCATTACTGCATTAGGCAAATTCTGCTGCACAAGACCTCAAAAGAGTTGAAGAACAAGGATGTCAGCTTGAGACTAAGGTGCACCTGACCCAAGCCATGGTATTTTTAATAACCTCATATGCATGAGAAACCTGGACAGTGAATAAGGAAGATCGTAGAAAAATGATGCTTTTGAGTTGTGGTGTTGTAGGAGAATATTGAAAGTGCCATGGCTGCCAAAAGAACCAATAGAACCGTTTTGTAAGAAGCGCAGCCAGAGTGCTCCTTGGAGGCCAGGATGGCCAGGCTTTATCTCTCATACTTCAGACATATTGTCAGGAGGGAGCAGTCGCTGGAGAAGGACTGTTTATATCCATAAACAAACATGGTTATCATGTTTGGTAAGGTGGAGGGTCAGAGAAAAAGAGGTAGACCCCCAATGAGATGGATTGGCCAAGTGGCAGCATCAATGGACTCAAGCATGGCAACAGTAGCGAGATTGGCCCAGGATCGGGTAGTGTTTCATTCTGCTGTGCGTATGTCACTATGAGTCAGTACCGACTCGATGGCACCTAACAACAACAACAACCATTACTATAAACAGCAGCTGCTGCCATGCCTAATTCCTCCACTACCATTTCTTTTCCTCTTCTTTTGTACCAGTTCTAAGTTTAGACCCAGCAGGTGAAATAACTGCATATTTTCATCTTTTCAAATGTATATCGTTGCCTTTGAGTCCATTCTGACTCATGCTGTTGTTGTTAATTGCCTTTAAGTCAGTTCTGACCTATGTTGTTGTATGACTCATAGTGACCCTGCACAGGGCTTCCAGGGCTGTAAATCTTTATGGGAGCAGAATGCCTCCTATTTCTCCTGTGGTACCCTGAGGTTGGCAGCCTGACTCCTAACCACTACGCAACCAGAGCTCCTTTAGTGACCCTGTATAGAGTTTCCGTGGAGGAGCTTGAATCCCCAACCTAGCAGTTCACACTGACTTTGCAGTCCAGCTCATTAACCCACAGCACCATACCAGGACTCCTAGTGACACTGTATAAAGGTTTCCGAGAAGTGGCTGGTGGGTTTGAACCACTGACCTTATGTTTAGCAGTCCAGTGCTTACTTATCTTATAGCACCAGACCAGGACTCGATAACTTATAATAATGTTATCCCCCTTCCCCCAAATAGTTTTGCCCCAGATAACCAAGGCCCTCATTTTGAAAGAAAAAGCGATTGCTGCTATGACAGGATCATTAATGTTGTCCATGGCCTTGGCCTCCACCTCATCCCACGGTGACCATTCCAAGAATCTATCCAGATCTTTGTCTCCTTGTCTCCAATGAGATTGGAACCAAATCCTTACAGGAAATCAATGCTTTCAGTTCCTCTCTGACTATAATTGTAACTGAATTTCACTTTTGAAAAATTAGGAAATAGGAAAAAAAAAAAAAGGAAAATATTTCATCATTATCCAACCATCGGAGTTAACTACTGATAATATTTTTAGGTACTTAGTTCTATATCTGTAGTTAGGTACATAGGAAAATGAGGTGTGAAAAGGCTTATGCTACCAGACTACATTTGGGTTTTTAACAGGGGACAACAAAAAGTTCTTGGAAACTTGGAATTAAAAGATAACCAAAATTGCAGAGGAACTTTTTGAAGCCCTCTCAAATAATCTTGACTTCTTGTTATCATTAAGTGCCTTCAAATTGATTCTGACTCACAGCAACCATGTATAGGGTTTCTGAGGCTTGAAATCTTTCTCCCAAGGAGTGGCTAACGGGCTCCATTGACACACCCTGTAATCTTGACTACCTTGTCAACAATACTGAATATGTATGCAAATAACATGCAACTAAGCCCTCCCCCTTCAGGTAGTTTCCTAAATGCCTTATTGTTTCATAAATTGCTATAAAGAAACTAGCACAGTGGCTTGGCATAAAAAAAAAAACCAAAAAAACCCACAGACATGTGCATTGTTGTATGCCATCCAATTGGTTCCAACTCATAGTGACCTTGTATAGGGTTTCAGAGAACTGGTGTGTTAGAACTGCTGACCTAGTGGTTAGCAGTCCAGGGCCTATCCTACAAAGTCACACCAGGGCTCATTATTAGCATAAAAATACTGTTGTTGTTGTTAATTGCTGTGGAGTCGGTTCTGACCTATAGCGACCCTGTACAGGGTTTCCGAGGCTGTAAATCTTTACGGGAGCAGAAAGCCTCATCTTTCTCCTGCGGAGTGGCTGGTAGTTTCGAACTGCTGACCTTGCGGTTCACAGTGCAATTCGTAACCACTACGCTACCAGAGTACTAGTGGAAATAGTGGTGTCTTAGAGCAAAGAGACAGGAAAGAGACTCTTGCTTATGGGACTTAAGCAGGGACATAGATGGGAATCGCTACTTGATGCATGTGGGACATTGAACCCTAAGTACAAGAGTTCTGAATCTTGGCAGAGCCCCACTCCTACCCCCCACTGGCCCTAAAACAGCAAGGATGCCTACACTTAGGGGACCACATTGGCCTGGACAGTGAAAGTAGTAGGAACAATTACGACAGCTTCACATAAAGCCCCCAATTCTAGGGTAGCTCTCAGTAAGAGTGAATGAGTAATTAATGAGTTGAATCTCCTCCATTTTAGTGTTGTTGTTAGCTGTCCTGGAGTTGATTCTGACTCACTCTGACACTACATGTGCAGAGTAGAACTGCTCTGTAGGGGTTTCAAGGTTGTGACTTCTCAGAAGAAGATTGCCCGGCCTTTCTTCTGAGGTACCTGTGGATGGGTTCAAACTACTAAACCTTTCTAGTAGTCCAGCGCTTACCCACTTGCACTACCCAGGGTCCCTTTCCACCTCTGTAGGATAAATGTCGCAGATTAAAGTTGCCATCTTCCCTGGGGTACACACGACACAGAAGACACAGAAGGTAAATGTACACTTTTTATTACAAGTTAGGCCTTTGGAGAAAACCCCTGACCAAGATTGGTCTTGATGAGCTGAGTGGGATCTCATGGGGAAACAGAAAGCCTCCTTCTGTTCACATTGGAGGTTGATATCGCGCCCAGAACTGCAAAAATGGGTCTAGATGTTACTTCAGTTATGTTTGCTCCAAGGTCACATTACATGCAAGGCAAAGAAGTACCCCCGATCTAATTTATGTTTCAAATTAGGTTATCATCTGTCATCTAACCAGACACATCAAAAAGCGTTATACAGTGTGCACAAGATAATGTGTAAACATAGCTCTTAACAAATACTATTTCTATTAGTTGCCATCAAGTGGACTCTGATGACCCTATGTGTGCAGAGTAGAACTGCTCCATAGGATTTTCAAGGCTGTGGTCTTTCGGAAGCAAAGCGCCAGTCGTAATCTCCAGGCACCTCTGGGTTGATTCAAACTGCCAAGATTTAGGCTAGTAGTTGAGCGCTTAGTATTTATACCGTGGATTCCTAACAAATACTATAATACATAACTGATCAGTGAGTAAACAGAAAATTCCTCAAATCTGCTCCAGGAGCCCTGGTGTGGCGCTATGTGTTAATGCACCAGACTGCAAAGCCGTTTGAACTGCAAGCTCAGCAGTTCAAGCTCACCAGTTGCTCCTCGGAAACCCTACACTTAATAACAATAACAACATGGAGTTTAACAGTACACCTTCCCAACTCTTTAAAGTTAATCTCTAGTTCCAACTGAGAAATCTAATTCTAACAAAATCAGTTGATTCTCCCTGTACCCTCTAATGTGTGCCAAAACATTTCTTCCCTTTCTAGCCAGGTGGAGCCTATCTCTGCCGTAAGTCATTGTTCAGTTTGAAGTGTGATTTCTTTAAACTCTTGGGCTATCTTCTAATGGGACAGGTGTACCTTCTTCAACAAGTTCCCTGGATCTCAGAGACACAAAAACAGGACCTCCCTATAAAATTAAAACAAAAACAAAAACAAGAAATATGAATTGTCTATTAGTTTGCAAAGGAACAACAGCATTTTCAAAGACAAAAAAAATCTTTACATACAATATAGCTTGTAACTATAAAAACATGGGTTGTTTCCAGTCAAAGACAAGGCATTATCAGAAAAACATTGTTAAGAAAACTAAAAGGAATCCAAAAAATTGTAAAAAAGGCTACATGATCTCAACTTCTCCAGGGTGTCAATCCGTTTTTATCAGTCATCCAGAATCAACCACCTGGAACCTAAGATGCAATTAGAAGAAATCCTCTATTTAAAGAATAAGTGTGATAATTCAAAAGTAGTTCCTCTTTATAAAAATGAATTCAAATAAGAATATAAAAATTGTTGTATTTTTCTATTTATTTTATATATTTATCATTATGTAACCAGAATGATAAAATAGTGGTAAATTGGGATAATATGATAATAAATTCTGAATTTTTTCTAGATGATCATTTTGGTTACCAAATTTTCTGTTAAGCATATTACTTTTTTTTCTTTTCATCAGAAAGGAGACTCAGGAAATAGATTTTACTGTGGAGTGTATCTTCATTCTTACTCACCATGCTGAGATCAGTGAGGAGCTTGTCCTGGGTCAAGGTCTCTGCTGTCATCTGTTCTGTAGACTTCCTTGCATTTATAGCAGGCCATGCGCCATGAAAAATTCTTCCCTCCACATGACTGGCACTTCCAAATGGCTGTACTACTGCCACGGGCAGGCTTCTCCCATTGTTGGGATTCTGAGGCTTTTTTCCCATTTGGTGGCTTGGCCTTTTGCCCCTGAGGCTTCTGTTTCTTTGGGCTGCCTCTCACATCACAGCTATGGCTATCTCCTCTGGAGGCCACTTCCCCAGGCTTCTCTAGATTATCTTTCTGGCTGGGGATCGTGGGACCTCCCAGAGGGTCCATCCTCTGAGGCTTCTCTTCATCTTCCTCCTGACTGAGGCTCTGGCTTTCCTTGATGGAGGCAGTGGCCTGAGGCATCTTTGAAGCACCCTTCTGGCTGGGGATCTTGTTGTCTCCCAAGGGGCCAGTGCATTGAGGCTCCTTTGGATCTTCCTCCTGGCTGGGGCTCTTGCTGTCCCCCATGGGTGTCTTCCCCTGAGGCTGCTCTGAATTATCCTGCTTGTTGGGGATCTTGCTGTCCCCCAGAGAGTCCATCCCCTGAGGCTTCTCTGGATCTTCTTCCTCCTGGCTATGGCTCTTGGTGTCCCCCATGGGGGCATTCTCCTGGTTGAGGTTTTTGCCGTCTTCCACGGGGGTTGCCCCTTGACACTTCTCTGGAGTTTCCTCCCGGTTGTGACACTTGTTGTCCTCCAGGGAGGCTGTTCCCTGGGGGTTCCCCAAACCTTGCTCCTGGCTGTAACTGCTCTGGTCCCACAGCGGGGCCATCTTCTGGGATCCCACTGCACCCCACTGGGCCACTGAGTGCAACCCTGCAGGAGGCATCTGAAGTGGGACTGCTGCTGCTGCACCCACGGTTGCTAGTGGTACCGGTGTGGAATATGGGTATCCCACTGGGAATAGAGCGTGGTGCTGGAATGGGTGTGGCTGTGGCATTGGCATCTGCATTGGCATCGCCATCGGCATCGCCAAATGGGGTTGCATGTGCTGGGTCCAGCAAGCCGGTTGGGTCGGCACATACAGCAGAGATGCTGGGGCTGCCATCTGCGTGCCCATGGCCATCACTTCGCCCTGATTCTCCTCATTCCGGGGCCAAGCTGCAGCCCCCTGCTGCTCAGCATGATCCCCAGATGCGGCATCTTGGGGCAGAGGATCATCCTGGATTGAGCTTTGTGCCTGGATCAGCCGCTCGTGCAGTATGTCGCACTCCTTCAGGGTCTGTTTCAGGGCAGCCTGGGTGGAATGCAGTTGCTTATTCACCTCCTCATGCTCGTCACGCAGTTGCTGCAGCTCGGAAGACAGGGCCCAAGATGCGGTCTGGCGCTGCTCCATCTGCTCCTGAAGCCGCCCAATCCGGCGCATCTGCTGTTCGCGCTGCTGGGCGCCCAAACGCACGCTCAAGGCTAGTGCGCTCCAAGTGCTGGCCCTTTTCAGAGAACGAGGCATCTGCGGGTTGGTCAGGATGGCTTGAAGCCGATCCTCTACCTCGTTCCAGGGCCGCGATCTCAAGGCCAAGTAAAAGTCCGGCCCGCCGCCATTATTGTAAACCTCACTATTAATGAATCTGATCACATCATTGTGACGGAACCCGTTCCCTTGGTCACCAAGGTCTATCGCCATGGCTGCTTCGGCCTAGTCAGCCGACCCACGTCAAGGGACGTCGCAGTGGCAGCTATTATAGGCTATGGCCTCCAAACAGTCAGCCCTCAACTCCTCTATCAGTCTTAAGTCAGTCCTCACAGAGTTCAGGCCACCCCTCAACTAGTCTCCTTCAGTCCATTCCCTTGGTCCTGCTCACAAAGAATAAAGCCAAATCTCTCACCACGCCAAGGCCTCCAGCAAAATGGCGTGTCACGTCACAGAGCCGGGCTCTGCGATGTACCGCAATGCCTGCTGGGACCACCCTTCGTGGCAAAGCGAACCCTGCGTGGCGGGCTGGCTGTGCTCAACTCGGCCTGGAACCAACTCCCTTGCCAGAGCGCCCCCTCCTGGTGGGATGACTAGCTGGCTGCACTCAGCTCAGCCTGGTATGATTGTTGTTGTTAAGTGCCATCAAGTTGTTTCCGACCCATAGCAACCCTGTATAGAGATTTTAAGGAGAAGCTGATGAGATTGAACTGCCAACCTCGTGGTTCAAACCGACTTTTGTAGTCCAGCGCATTAATCCATAGCGCTACACCAGGACTCCTGGCCTGGTATTATCCATCATCATCCTCCATCAATCAAATGTGCCCTTCATGGGGGCTGACTGGGTGGCTTCCTTGGTTCTTACAGGGACCGACCTCCCTCAGTAGAGTGCCCCCTGCAGAGCTGGATGTCAGGTGACCCACCTCTGGCGACAGAGTGCCTCCTGCAAGACGAGACGCTGAGTGACTGTTCAGTCTGACTGGGACGGACCTCCATCACTGTGACGTTTCCGTTATGGCAGGTAGATTTTACTCTTCCTAGGATGAACTCTGCATTTCTTCCATTCACAGGGGTGAAGGGAGTGGGGGCTGGGGAAGTGGGGTCATGGAATGGTTGCGATGGTGGCTGGGGGTTTAGGGAGATCAATTACACATGCATTGAAAGGGAGAGTGCATCAGAGGAAATCAAAGATTTTTTGAGGTGGGAGAATGAGGTAGATTATACTGGGATTGCAGGGCTCCCAATTATAGCAAATGAACAGAGTATAAATTGGGTGGTTTACCAAAACCTAAGAGAGGAGAGGACGGGCAGGGCAGGGTTGAGAACTTGAGAAAGAAAGCTGCACCTGCATGTTTGCTATGGGGGAGATGATGAGGTTGCATGTTAGGGTAGCAATAGGAATCAGGCTGGGTTATGTACCTCCGCGCGAATGAAGTTTAAGTCAGGACACTGTTGGGCTTCCATAGCACAAACCATAAGGCAAGGCTGGTTAGGGACACCACTGCAATGGCTGAATGGATAAGGAGGAAGGGGAAACCAGACAGACCACGATGTTCTGGGACGATAGGGAACTCCCCAGGACGGGAGACCACAAAGAAGATACAGTATCTTAGACTCAAGTAATCTGGTGGATGATGAGACAGTATGTGTGAACTGTGTGGGAGAAATGAAGCACATTGAACATAAAGGGTCTCTGATATTTCTGGAAGAATTTGGAGGACATCACAAATCATGTGGAAGGGTTTTCTGATATGGAAAGAGACTGCTCTTTACTCATCTCCATCTGTTATACCTCTTAGCTGTCATACTATCCTCAAGCATGTTCAAGTTTCTTCCATGTCCTAAATGTTTTTGTCTACATTTCCTGTACTTTGATTTCAACCTATAAAACTTTACTGAAAATATGTTGATAAGGATACCACACAGTGATTGCTACCCCTCCACTAAAAATTAAAGTTTCCTCTATCTTGACATTTCTGTATAGTTAGACTCTGCTGATCACACCCTTTTTGAAATTCTACACTCCCTTTTCTTCAGTGACACCAAACTATTGATATTGCTCCCTCTTTGTTAATTTTTGCTGCCTGCTATGCTTCCACTCACTCATCCTTTAAACACTGCTGTCCCCCAAAGTCCTCAGACTGCTTACACCCCCACCCCCAGTGCTCTTTCAGTGTGATGCCATCTATTCTCTTGCTCTCATCTTCCATCTAAATGCTGAAGACTCCCCAAACTCTATATCCAGCCCTGCTCTCTCTCTCCACCTAACAAACTCACCTATTGTTGTTGTTAGGTACCATCAAGTTGGTACAGACTCACAGTGACCTTATGCACAGCAGAATGAAACAGTGCCCGATCCTGGGCCAACCTCACTACTGTTGCC